ATTGATAATTCGGTATGCAGTCGGCTTTACAGCCACCGTATGAGGAGCAACGCATTCCTGCGTTCATTGGAGAAGGTGGAGTACCAACACAACCTAAAGCAACTTGTGTATAAACTCCATGAGGAAATTGAGTTGACTTTTTTACCTCCACTATATTTCCCTTTTGTTTTAGTTTTGGTCTTTATTAGTCCACTATAAGGACTTTTCAATGAGTTTGCTCTATTTGCACCAGTTTCAAGGAGTCGTGCTTGCTCCAGCGAAATGCTTCCGAAATTATTTGTTTCTTGAACATGAGTAATTCCACCATTTGGACTGAAGCCGTTGTATTTGGTTTTGAGGTATTGAGGCACGTAAGCTTGACCTCTATAAATTAGTTATTTACGTTTTAAATTGATTCTTTTCCGGTCAACAACTAATTTGCGTGGGATAAACATTTTTGATAAAACCAACTGACTATAGGTTTATTTAATATGATTTCTCAATAATGAACTAAAAACTCTTACCTGGCATTGTGTAAAACTATACCGAAAAACAGCAAGAAAAGAGCACAAAAACTAAGCACCCCCATGCTGGAGGCGGTTGTTCGCGAATTAATTGGCTCACAAAGTTGCGGATTTATTTATCAAAGTTTTGCCTATCTTATGGCGAGTGCGCATTAATAATTATATCTGGAATAGGGAGGATACAGTTCCAGGAAATTCCAATAATAAATTTGTTGTTGTATTACAAGGAAATGAAATAATGTCAGTACAAGAATAGGTATTTCTTGTTGATTTTGCATAATTTTTGGATCTAGGTATTTAATTTGAGTCATCTTAAAAATTTCATAAAGGTAGAGACAACGATAATGAAATTGCCATTTTTTAATTCTCATAGGTATGTATAGTCTTTTTAAAGTCAGTTGAAACAAAGTAAAGGTAAATAATCACAACTGGTGATTGAATACTCTCATAAGAAATGCACTATCACTAGTCAGCCACCAGTTGCAATTTATTTTTACCTTGTTTCAATTGACTTTACAAAGACTATACTAGTCTGGGAGACGACCGCATTTTTCCTACCCCGATCGAGTTATGTGTCGACACTATTATCAATATATAGTATTATGTGCATCTATTAACCTGTATTCCTGCCTGAGAGCAAATGCTGCCGGAAATATCTTTTAACAAATTATTAACAAATTGAAAAAAACGTAACACTACCCTCATCGAGTTATGCCCTAAGAAGGGTATCAGATTGAAGGTCTCGATGTCCCCTATCTAAAAAGTCGATCCTGCCTCCTGAGAACTTGCCGGAAAAGGGTGGCAGGACAGCTTATTGAGGCAAGGGCCCGCGGTCTCTGCTTTGACACCTATCAAGCTTTGCACTAAATGATGTGTCAAATTAAAGGTGTCAATAAGTTGATTTAAGGTCTGTTCGCACAAAAATCACAAACCAGTCAGAGCGAATTTCATTGGTTGGAAACAGTCGGGAAACTAGTTTCAACCAATGAAATTCACTCCTTCTGGTTTGGGATTTCTGTGAGAAGAGACCTTAAATCAACTTATTAATACCTTTAATTTGACACATCATTCAGGGTAAAACTTGATAGGTGTCATAGCTCAGACCGCGGGCCCTTGCCCCAATAAGCTGCCCTGCCACCCTTTTCCGGCAAGTTCTCACGAGGCAGGATCGACTTTTCAGATAGGGGACATCGAGACCTTCAATCTGATACCCTACTTAGGGCATAACTCGATGGGGGTAGTGTTACGTTTTTTTCAATTTGTTAATAATTTGTTAAAAGATATTTCCGGCAGCATTTGCTCTCAGGCAGGAATACAGGTTAATAGATGCACATAATACTATATATTGATAATAGTGTCGACACATAACTCGATCGGGGTAGGAAAAATGCGGTCGTCTCCCTAACTATACCTACTTTCGCTAGAAAGTTAGAATTTTGTATTTTTTCCTGGAAAGTTGGCTTATATGGAAAAATAACTACCTATCGACCTACATAATATAATCATGAAAAATAAATAGATCATCCATCGTGGGCGGGTATATAATAAAACAAAACACAGGAAATCGGTATCAAAGAGTAGACTTTGCAGGTTTTGATAAAAATTAAAAATTATTGCATATTGTAGAAAAGTTATTTTGAGTAATAGGGGCTCCTGATAAACCGTCTGCAATTCGAAGAATGGTGTCATCAGACATTTTTTGAAAGATAAATTTAAATAATGCTCTACATTTCTAATTAGGAGAATAACGGATTTGATTTATATTCAACAAATAAGGAAATTATTCATTTGGGGATTTCTGTAAAACTTTTAGGATTTTATGGTCAAATTCCAGGACTAGGTACATCATACACCCAGAGAGAAGTGAAATTCAATTGAAAAATTGTGATATTCTCATTCCTGACTAGATTAGGTATAGATCTAAAATTTCAACTAGAAACATAAAAATTCTATTCGTGGTTTTCCAAAAATTCGACTAGAGGAATGTGAAACTTCAATTTTTGACCAATTAAGAGTTAACGAATTATCAAAAAGCTCATATCGATCCTTGCATGAGTTAAATTCCAATGGTTATTTTTGAAAATCTCATTGCAGGCTCTATACTAGAACTGAAATTATAACTGGAAGCACAAAATTATATTCTTAATGCATAAATTTAATCAGAGGAGAGTTTTGATTTTTGACCATTGAGTTGAAGTACACAGTTCAAGATGTTCATATTTGACTTTCGCAGAGCTAAAATTCAATTAAAAAAATGTGAAAATCCAATTATTCTTAGCTCTACTGAAGTTGAAATTTATTGTATTAAAAGCATGTACATTTTCTTGGCGTAATCCTTAGTTTTGACCATTATTAGGAGTTATTAGAAAATTATGAAAATCTTATTCCCATCTCTTTATCTTTATTAGAGCTCAAATTTGAATTAGAAAGTTACAAATTCTATTCTTGGCCCGAGGGTCAACCACTCTGTAAAAATGTGTACAATGATATTGCTAAAATGTATTTCGCATGTTTTTCGCGAAATTCAAAGTATTTCGATGGTGGTAATTCGAACCTAGTTTTTCGTGGTATTGCCTAATATTTCAAAGTAGGTATTTCGAGGTAATTCGAAGTATTTCCAGGTAATTCGAAGTATTTCGTGATAAGCGAGGTATTTGGAGCTATTTAGAAGTATTTTTTTATGTACCAAAAACATTTAATTCTCATCACCTGAAATTGAAATATTATAGAATGAATCATTATAGAGTCCATTTTCGAACAGGCTAAATACAGGGTGGACCATAAGTCTGTTTACATTTCAATTGAAGCCGTTATTAAAAGCAGTTTTCGCTACAGGTTGCAGCAGTGTCAAAATAGTCAAAGATTACATTTATGGATGATGTAATTTTCAAAAAATAAAATCCCTATCTATGTACTTTCGTAAAAAATAAACATTTTTTTTTTATGATTGTTCGAAAAGTAAAAAAACTTTTGGTCCACCCTGTATATTGACATAATTTGAATTAACTGCATATTAATTGAAACAAATGGAAATATATACCCTCGGATATACCTGATATGTATAGGATATAAGTAATCAAGTCACCAGGGCTGGGACTCTGTAACGGATATAGATGGTTAATCCTATCGACCCTATCGCTATATGGCTCTTGCTGTTTTCTCTCTTTTCGAAATCAATAGAGATAGAAAAATATCTTTATTCGTTACAAAGTCCCACCCCATCATCACTAACTATTGATTTAATTGTCTATCCTGTGTCGGAATAAAATCCCTGATATCAAAAGACAAGAAAATCCGGGCAAAAATTCTTCACCGCAATCCACAAGAAGACTCGTCATCAACGAGAATTTTTTTAGAAATATTGCGGAACTTCGCGTGGGAATTTGAAGGTATTTCGCGTACTTCGACGGTAATTCCATGGAATTTCGCGTTCTTCGACGGGAATATAGTAGTATTTCGGAAGTAATTAACGCAAAGTATACACGTATTTCGGGAAGTGGTTAACCTCTCGTCTTGGCCCTATTAATGCAAAAAATTATAAACTAGAGTAGTGTAAGGTTTTGATTTTTGACCATTTTAGAGCTGAAGTTGAGTAAAAGCGATTTAAAAAAAACTCATAGTTTGATGTCGCAGGGCTTAAATTTAATTGGGAAATTATGAAACTTTCATTCCCAACTCCTAATAACTGAAACTTGAAATAGAAGCACAAACATTCTAAACCTGGCGCATCTAATTCCAATTAAAAATTAAACTAGAAGAGTGAACTTTTGATTTTTGACCAAAGTAGTTCAGGAAGCTCATATTTGACCTTAGCAGAGCTGAAATTCAATTAAAAAGGTTTGAAAATTCTATTCTTGACGCTCTTAATGCAAAAAGTTGAAGTAAAAGAGCGTAAAACTTTGATTTTTGAGCATTTAGGGGTTAAAGTTGAGCAAGAGCGCTTTCAAAAAGTTCATATTTGACTTGAGCAGTTCTCGAATTCAATTAGAAAATTGTCTACTTAACTCTCATTCCCAGCTCTACATAGAGTTGAAATTTAAACTTGTTACTTGAACCTTGAACACCATAAATGCGTTTTTAGATTTATGCTAAACTAATTTAGAGTATTATTTTCTGATTTTACAAGAAGTAGATAGTAGATGATCTGGTGACCTCGACCAGTGTTGTCACAGGTGGTCCCATCTGGCCCTTTCTTAGACGGAGTGGCCCGTTGGCCACTCTTTTTCGAATCTGGCCCGTTTCTCCATAACAAGCCAAATCATTATTTTTTCATGCAAAATAAACGTTTTTGGGCGTGGCACCCGAAAAAAATTTCTGCATCCGGCGAAGCCTGCGGCGGGCTTTCTCACTTCTTTTTTGTTTAAAATGAGTTTGCTCAAAATTCTGAAGTCTGGCCCCATTTAAAACTATAATCTGGCACCAAATTTTCAGAGCTTGTGGCACCACTGACCTCGACACACCTTCGTTTCCCAGCAAAACCTTATTTATTGTATCTGACTTAAAAGTTTAAAGGTTCAAATTTAATTTAAAACAAAATACCTTTATTGCCTTAAAACTAAATACAATAATTATTATAGTTCTTTTTGTTTTGTACTATCTTTAAGCCTAAACCCTTTACTTTTCAACAAATCATTGCACTCTTCTCTGTTGTACTTTTCCAATTTGATCCTTTCCACTTCTTCGTCGGCTTCGTTGAGGAAGAGAAGCTCTGGCGGGGCCCCTTGTATTTTTTTCCATTCGACATTTTCATATTTGGGTACATCTTCATAGAGAAATGCACGCACTTGGGTGAGGCGTTTCAACGAACAACCTGGACAAGACTGAGAGGAAGAATAAAGTATATTATTTATTAGAGTGAACTAAAACTGAAGTGCAATAATTATAATGACTACCTATACTTTTTGGTAAGTTGCTAGTGCAAAAACTTCTTATCTTAAAAATATTTTCTTCTATGATGGTAGTAAAGAATGGGTTTATTTATCTGAGTATATAGGTATGTATGTAGTCTAAGGACCCATAAAAGCTCTGTTTCCTTGTTCTGTTCCAACCGAGATGGGCACCGTTCTAGAACGGTAATTTTCAGTGGATCAATTCATTTCTCAAGTAGGATAAACGTTCAACTTATTGAAAAATAAGTAGACAACTGAAAATTAATGGTTCTGGTTCTGGAACGGTTCACATGTCGGTTGGAACAGAGCTATTATAAACTGTGCTATTCTATTATAAGAAAGTTATCTCAAGCCTCATTCACCATACTATCAAGATATTTGTTTTTCCCTTGCTCTTCAAACTTTCTTATTTCAGAGTTGATTAGAGCCACTCATCAACTTACCATTGGTGTAAGATCTTGAGAAAACTATTCTTCAATTAAAGTAAGCCTTTTTTTTCACTTACCTCGATTCGTGCGCTAACAATTTTCGTATCTTGTTCAGCCTTGTTGAAGTTGAAAACCAGCAATAGCACAAAACAATGAGCAATAATCAATTTGGCCATATTTAACTAGTTAATTTGAATAGGGCAGAGTCGTACTACTTTTGTGCTTATGTGGCTTGTTTTTGAAGAGGAAAAATTATCAAGTTTGTGATTAAAAAACAAGATTTAAATTTGAGGTTAGGAAACCGCGATTTACTGTGGCGCCATCTATCAATCTTGGCTAGTATGTCTAGTATGTTTAGTTGGCGACAAATTAAATTTTTCATTATCACTGGCTTTTATAGTCACTGTAGCTTTTATTAATGAAATTAAAAAGAACGGAGTCCTTCTTTTGTGCTTATGTGGCTAATTTTGAAGGGGAAAAACAACATTAAATAGGATCGGTTAGAAAACATTGTAGAAAACCCATAGTTACCGTGGCGCCATCTATCAATCTATTCTTAAAACTTATATATTTAATTGGCGGCAATTCAAATTTATCTATGGCTTTATACTTTTATCGTTTTTTTAATTAACTTTTCAGTTAAATTAAAAATTAATACAAGCAAACAATAATAAAACATAATTATTTCTATTATTATAATAGAGAAACAATTAAAATTATTATTATTTAAGTTTGAATACAATAGAAGTATGTATATGCGAAAAATTTGTTTACTTAGATAAAAGTATATAAATACATCATCTTATCAAATTATATACATATGTAAATAAACACTACTTGTACTGCTTCGGGTATTACAAGCAGTAGGCTTACTATGTTGTTACGTGAATTGAAATAATTACATATTATTGAATTTTTATTTAAATTTTCTCGCTAAATATAATATGGTACAATTACTACTCATTTTGTAAATTCTAGCAAAAAGACTCAAGTACCTACTACTGATTCGAAAAATTCCCTTTGCAAATTAATAAATTAATTATATATAGGTATCTTTATAAAGGCCTGCACTTCTAATTAGTAGGCAATATAATATTGAATATCGTCAACTGAGTAGGTAACAAACAGCAGGCAGAAGTCTTTCAATTCCGAATGAGAATTATTTTTAATTGGTAAATAATAATTAAAAAGATTGCATTTTGATGTTTTTCTTGATATAAAACTATGAACGAAGACCAGAAATTTAGTGAAATGCTACCAAGTACAGTGACATTTCTTGATGGAAGGGTACGTAGGTACTTATCTGTGATTATTTAATAGTACTTTATATAGATTTATCTTGATTTAGAACCAGGATTGGGAATTATACATACTGTAATTGGTTTTATATGTATAACTTTGGTTTCTCAAAAATAAATCTTTAAAATGTTTTCATTGTTATCAGATTTGCATATGTTATTGTACGATATTTGTTCAAAAATATTTTCCCGCCTACTACCTACTGATTTTTTTCGTCTCAATTTTTGTCTATTCCTCTGGCTCTTGAATTTTCGTTATGTCTTAAATTATGTTTTGAGCGCCAGAATCTCAGGATTCAGGTTGAAAGTTACCATAAATGTCTAGTTCATAATGCTTTTAAGTGCGAATTTAGATTGCTGTAGAACTTTGATCAGACTTTTAGGCATCCAAAACAGAATTTTTGGGTGCATTCTAGAACAATTGAAAAACTTCAGAGTTATTTTAGAGCAATTAAGTATTAGGATTCAATTTAAAATTGGAAACCTTTTAGAACTCTTTTCAACCAATTTAAAACACTTTGGAGCATAAGCGCAACTAGGCTCCTAATTTGAGGTTTGCTGCAGCACCATTTTTTTTTTGATGGGGTTTGATTGATAGGAAATGAGACGCGTAAAAAAAAGTTAGTTTCACTAGGGCTTGTACTTACGTCATCATTTGCCTTTTTTTTTTTGGAAAATAGGTTTTTCTATGTAGTAGGATAAACGTAGCTGCATAACATTGATGGGGGTGCAACAAATTAGCAACAAGCTGATTTCAGCGGAAATGTTTAGTAACCGACCTCCTATTTAACCTCCCAAAAGTCCCATTCAGTCCTAGGGGTGGAAGGTTGAAAAAAATGGCCGCCATCTTGGATTTTTTATTTTTTTCAAATATCTCAGTTTCTATTAGTTTTTTCAAGAAAACTTAATAAACCTTTTTTGTGGAGGATTTAATTCTCTATAAAAAGTGTCTGTACATTTTTTTTGGACCATGACGGATAACGGAGATATGGTTTTTTTTAGAATTTAATTTATACATTTTTCACTTTTGTTGAAGATCCAAAAAAGTGATCCACCAAAGTAAGTAGTATATTCGCTCTGTATAAATTGCAAGTTTTTATGGGTCTCTATTGGTCATATTGATCGTGTGTGGAGTCATTTTGTTTGTGAAATTGTGATTTTTTCAACCTTGTAAAACTTGTTCTGGACTTCATTCTTGGTAAGCCAACAAATCCAGTTTAATTATTGGGACTCAAATAGGAATAGAAAAAAAAGACAATTTGTATTACTTATCAGCAGCACAAAAATTTGCAATCTCATTGGTCGGCCAGTTATTCGCCAACGAATAGAATAATAGAACGATATAAAAACCTCTGTAATCTCATTAGTTGGCCAGTTATCCGCCAACCAATAGAATAATAGAACAATAAATTTATCTTTCAGATAGTTACCAGCAAGTTTATCTGAAGATGAATGAACCGGGCCTAAGCCAAATAAACATTCTGTATTAAATTTTATTCCTACCATAATCAATCCTGATATGGATCTACCTGTGATAAGGCCTGCTTCCAAAAGGAAGACTAAAATTAGCTTTTTGGCTAACCATGTGACATTTGTCGCAAGATTCTATGCAGAAATTGCTCTGGAGTAAGGATCTCTGAGATCCGAGTTCTGATAATGAAAGAACGCTGCCTAAGATATTTTTGTTGTCCAAGCTGTATGGACTGTTTCCAAGCACTACCGTACCAGGGTTTAGCTCAAGACTTCACGAATTCGAAGCAAAGATGGAAAAGCTCAAAACCAAAAAAAGAGTTGTGCTATCCAATGGGCTGGAAGACACCTGCAAAGCCATTCTGGATTCTAATAAAAAACTTGTTGCATTCATGTCCAAGTCCTATACACGCCTGGCAACTAAACATCTTGCATATCAATTTTAATGCGATAGAATAAAATGTCTAAAGAAAGTCTAAGGTTGAATAGAGAACGGAAACGATTTCCTCGGTTCCACCTGTAGCATTCCCAGCGCTTTTTGCTGGAGGTGGAACAGGGGAAATCTTTTCTAAACATTTCGAAAGGGATAAAAGTAAAGAAATGTTTGAAATATTTACTATAAAAAGCTCTGTATCTCCGTTATCCTTTAAGTTACAAAAAAACGGTATGAACACTTTTTATAGAGAATTAAATTTTCCACAAAAAAGGTTTTTCGAGTTTTCTAAAAAAACTGATAGAAACTGAGATATTTGAAAAAAACAACAAAATCCAAGATGGTGGCCATTTTTTTCAACCTTCCACCCCTAGGACTGAATGGGACTTTTGGGAGGTTAAATAAGAGGTCACTTACTAAACATTCCCGCTGGAATCAGCTTGTTGCTAATTTGTTGCACCCTGACCCCCCAGATTGACTCAGCTAATGTCTGAAATTTCAAACAAACATATAGTTCGTTGCACGGCGCGAAGGTTTTTACTTACTTCATCGATGACGTCATAACTTAGAGAAAAAGTTAAGTCATAGATTAATTCATGGAGCACCTTCGGAATTATTGTTTTGTAATACATTTTTAACTTAGAAAAGAGTTTATTCAGTTATCCGAAAATATATAAATAAATTTCTCCTGGAGTGATTTCACATTGGAAAATTTTGAAATTTTTCTCTAATGAGCTCCTCACTTTCCTCTTTCTCCTGTAAAAATTTTAAAATTTTCCCGTTGCCAGTTTTCCAGAAAAAAATTAAAATGTAAGAGGGTGAACTTTCCTCAATTTTGCCATAAATAAGTCAATTTTCTTTGAATTTTTCCTGGAGTGATTTTTCACTGGAAAATTTCGAAATTTCCCTATAGTGAGCTCCTCACTTTTCTCTTGTTCCTGGAAAATGTTCAAAATTTTCCTTTTGCCAGTTTTCCAAAAAAAAAAATTTAAATGTGAAAGGGTGAATTTTCCTTAATTTTTTCTGGAGTCATTTTTCACTAGAAAATTTTGAAATTTTCTTATATTGAGTTCCTCATTTTCCTCTTTCTACTGAAAAAATTCCACAATTTTTGCTTTGCCAATTTTCCAGAGAAAAATTGAAATGTGAAAGGATGAATTTTGCGCAAAGAAGTCAATTTTCTAGAATTTTCCTCTTGACTTTCCTTGGAGTTATTTTTATCTAGAAAATTTTGAAATTTTCCTATAATGAGCTCCTCATTTTCTTCTTTCTCCTGGAAAAATTTCACAAGTTTTGCTCTATTGGTTTTCCAGAAATAAATTGAAATGTGAAAGGATGAATTTTCCTTAATTTTACTTGAAAAAGTCATTTTTTCAGAATTTTTCCTAGAGCGATTTTCCATTAGAAAATTTTGAAATTTTCTTATAATGAGCTCCTGACTTTCCTCTTTTACCTCTTTTGCCAGTTTTCCAGAAAAAAATTGAAATATGAGAGGATGAATTTTCCTTACTCTTACTTGAAAAAGTCAATTTTCCAGAATTTCCCCTGGAGTGATTTCTCACTGGAAAATTTCGAAATTTCCCTATAATGAGCTCCTCACTTTCCTGTTTTTCCTGGAAAATTTTCAAAATTTTTCCTTTGCTAGTTTTCCAGAAAAAAATTAAAATGTTAAAAGTAAATTTTCCTTAATTTTGCTTAAATAAGTCAATTTTTCAGAATTTTTTATGGAGTGATTTTTCATTGGAAAATTTTAAAATTTTGCTATAATAAGCTCTTTACTTTCCTCTTTTTTCTGGAAAATTTTCACAATTTTCCTTTTGCCAGTTTCCCAGAAAAAAATTAAAATGTAAGAGGGTGAATTTTGCCTAAAAAAGTCAATTTCCAAGAATTTTTCCTGGAGTGATTTTCTACTGGAAAGTTTTGAAATTTTCCGATATTGAGCTCCTCACTTTTCTCTTTCTTCTGGAAAAATTTCACAATTTTCCCTTTGCCAGATTTCTAGAAAAAAATTGAAATGTAAGGTGAATTCTCCTTAATTTTGCTTAAAAAAATTAGTTTTTCAAAGTTTTTCCTGAAATGATTTTTTACTAAAAAATTTTTAAATTTTCGTAAAATGAGCTCCTCATTTTCCTCTTATTTCTGGAAAAATTTCAAAACTTTCCCGTAGCCAGTTTTCCAAAAAAAAAAATAAAATGTAAGAGGGTGAATTTTCGTTAATTTTACTTGAAAAAGTCAATTTTTCAGAATTTTTCCTGGAGTGATTTTTCACTGGAACATTTCGAAATTTTCCTATAATGAGCTCCTCACTTTCCTTTTTCTTTTGGAAAAATTTCACAATTTTTGCTGTGCCAGTTTTCCAGAAAAAAATTGGAATGTGAAAGGATGAATTTTGCTTAAAAAAGTCAATTTTCCAGAACTTTCCTCTCGACTTTCATTATAGTGATTTTTCATTAGAAAATTTCGAAATTTTCCTATAATGAGCTCTTCATTTTCTTCTTTCTCCTGGAAAAATTTCACAAGTTTTGCTTTATTAGTTTTCCAGAAATAAATTGAAATGTGAGAAGATGAGTTTTTCTTAATTTTACTTGAAAAAGTAATTTTTTCAGAATTTTTCCTAGAGCGATTTTCCATTAGAAAATTTTGAAATTTTCTCATAATGAGCTTCTGACTTTCCTCTTTTCCCTCTTTTGCCAGTTTTCCAGAAAAAATTGCAATGTGAGAGGATGAATTTTCTTTAATTTTACTTGAATAAGTCAATTTTCCAGAATTTTCCCTGGAGTGATTTCTCACTGGAAAATTTCGAAATTTCCCTATAATGAGCTCCTCACTTTCCTGTTTCTCCTGGAAAATTTTCAAAATTATCCCTTTGCCAGATTTCTAGAAAAAAATTAAAATGTATAAGGGGGTGAATTCTCCTTAATTTTGCTTAAAAAAGTTAGTTTTTCAATATTTTTCCTGGAGTAATTTTTTGCTGGAAAATTTTGAAATTTTCGTAAAATGAGCTCCTCATTTTCTTCTTATTCCTGGAAAATTTTCAAAATTTTCCCTTTGTAAGTTTTCCAGAAAAAAATTAAAATGCAATAGGGCACTACAATAATACCTACCTACTTAAAAATCTGTCAAAATAATTTAGAAATTACTGCAAAACTTCCTAGAAAGCTCCAGAACTCTTCAAGCCAAGTTAGAACACTTTAGAACTTCAATAAAGCTATTTTAGAAGGTTCCAAAACACTTTCCAGCAGAATTTTGAAAGGCAATTTGAATATCTCAGCGAGCAATATTCCAAGCTCGTTTTCTTCTATTAAGAAAAGGAAATCATGAAGAAAATTCAAGAGCCTCTGGAATAAACAAAAAATTAGCTGAAAAAAATGAGAAATGGAAATAAAATTGAAATATACATACCTCTAAATATTATTCAAGACCTATAATATTCCCAACCCTGGTGCAAAAAATTATAACAACACAAAGCCTCTATTCAAAAATAGAAAATTATCTCCGACCCTGGAATATAGGGCTTCATTTTTATAGATTTTCTCGCTTGATGAAGTACAATAATAATTGCCAATCATTTTTCAATGCACTTCCAACGCAAACACATTAAAAAATACATATTACATAAAAAAAAATGGGCTCTAAGTTCCGAAATAAAAAACCCAGAAAAGTTTTCATTTACTGCATGGTCTTGGAAACAAGACAGAAATCTCGAACCCAAAGGTCGCAATTAATTAACGAAATCGAATTCGATTCTGATAAAAGATTTGAAAAGGTAAGTACCTTTTATGTCCTTATAATAATTCATGTGCTCATTTTATAGTTGTGCTATTGTGGTCAAGGCTGTACACGAATCCCCGAAGCATTGGCAAAGCTCTATGGGCATAAAGTGCAAAGCTTAGATCTCAGCTACAATGAATTGCTAACACTTAAGGGCCTTGGCGCATTTACGGATCTACGAGAGTTGGTTTTGGACAACAATGAAATACGAGATTCTCTGGTGGTACCTGACTTACCAAAATTGCATACGTTGTCTTTGAATAAAAACCAGGTAAGAGTAAAAGCGTATACCTATTTTTTTTATATAAATATGAAAGTTTTTAGATATGCAATTTAGAATCGTTTCTTTTGCAAGTTAAAGAAAAATTACCAATGCTAAGTTATCTTAGTCTTTTGGGTAATCAAGCTTGTCCTAATCAACTTTCAAATCAAGAAAATGATGATGAAGATTATCAACGATACAGGTACTTAAGATGTTCAAGTTATATTAAAAGAAATTCATTGTGCTTTTTTTTCTAGATATTTTGTCCTACATCATCTTCCAAACCTCAAATTCCTTGATTCCAATAGAGTAACAAATCAAGAACGAACTGAAGCAAAGAGAAGGGGCAAATTCATGAACGTAGTTACACCAGCGTCTTTTTTAGAGGGCAGCCTTGACGTTAATGTTAACGTTAATCAAATGAATTTATCTGGGAGGTTGAAATATACTCCATTGCCTAGAGCTATGAGGAATCCTGAAGATTATAAAGGTATGTAATAATGTTGCACCTTCATTTAATACAAATAATTAATTTTCTAGGGGCTTATGGAAAGTGCAGGTATCGGTACAGTGGAAAACATTCTGAGGGAAATCGATTTATTTCCAATAGTGATCTTTGAAAGTAAAATATTTTATCTTCATCCTTATTTTAAATAAAACTTATTCATAGTAAAAACCATTTATTACTATAATCGGTTAAGAAAATATATGCATCATCGACTTATTGAATACAATTATAGCTAAAACATGTTTCATAAACTTTATCCTTAAAATACAACATTATTTTTAATTCAGGAAATATACAGAAGGGCTCGAAACATTAACATTAAAAATAAAATATTGCTAATAAAACATTTTTAGCAAAGCCAACCGAAGTGGAGCGTTTGCTTTACAATATTGCTTAAAACACTTTTCACATTCATATATTGAAATTTCACACACTTAAATTAATGGAAAATAGTATCCACAATTTGGGACCACAATCACAAATGGAATTAGAATTATCCCTAAACTAAAATTATAAATTGCATTATTACGAAAGACGCGTACCCACGGTGGGTCTTAATGGTAGACAACCTTCCACCCAGAAGTTGGGTCGTTCCAACATACTTTTCCATAGATTAAGTTCTTTGCCTGTCGAGTCCATCCATTCCACTGGTTTGCCAAAGTGTTTACCTGAAAGAAAAATCAGTATACATATTAACTATTAAAAATTTATACTATTATCCTCTTGAATTTTTTGTTGAAATTTAAAGAGAACTCAAAAATCTGGAATAGAAACAGAGATCTCAAGTAAATAGAGAAAGAAAAGTTGAGTATTTATTCTGTTCCAGGCTCTTGAATTTTGATGATTTTGAGAAACCTGAAGATAATTCAAGAGCTTGGAATAAAAGAAAGTTGAAACACTAAGCTTAAGCAATGGATAGAGGAAACTTGAGAAAACATAAGTATACAGGTAGGTAGACATATTTTATCTATTCCTAAGTTTTTTCCTGAGACATTTGAAAAGAACTCAAGAACCTGCAAAAAAAAAATCTGAGATGCCTGGAATAGACAAAAATTGATATAGAAAACTTGGCAGTTGTAGATAAAACATATAAACTTTCCTTTCAACTTACCAGTTCCTAAGGAGAACCTGACCATACCCAAAAACTCATTGCTGGCAAGCCGATCGTGATCCCACACGGTCAATTCCAGGCTCCTCTCAGCCAATTCCTGCAGAGTGACGTCGTCGTAGACAAAAGTGAAGTTCCAAACAGGATTTATCGTCCGTTTGACAACCGGGGTTTTTTGTTTTACGCTACGTCCTTTGTCTGGCAGTAAGTAACTGGAAATTTACGAGTTAAGTATTTGCAATATGAGAAACAAAATGATTTACCTTTTACAAAACGGATCTGAAGATCCGTTAGCTTTGACGGCAGTGAGACTTTTAGCTTCTTTGACTAATATATGAAGAGAACCTCTGGATCTTTTGCCTTTTTTGTGTACAGTCATGTCTGGAGGGACAAACTTCAAACACACAATGATATCGCCTTTGAATGACAAAACATCTTCAAAAGGCTCCGTCTATATATTTCAAAACTAATAAGTTAATCAAATTGATTTAAAACAAACAAACATCTTACCCTTTCTTGTAGATTGTACCACTTAGGAGTTGGCTCATCGAAAACTTTATTCTCCAAAGTCATCATGACTTCTCCGAGAAAATCATTCCTACCAAACATGTCCGAGTGCCACACAGACAGCCAAAGAGTGCGCAGCTCCAGCTCGTTGATGCTCATGTGGAACTTGAGGCACTCGTCAAACACCGGATTGAGCGTGTGTTTTTTCACTTTTGTCTTGCGTTTGCCCGACTTGGACTTGTCCGGCAACAAGTAGACTTTCACGTAGGGATCCGATCGGTTGCGTTTTACGTCCACCGGGGCCAGATCTTTGCATTGTTTGATTTGGATTTCCAGAGATCCGGCTTTGTAGTTGTATTGGAGGCCGAACTCGATTTGTCCGCGTACTGTTACTGAGCCGTACCGGCCTTCGCCTGCTCCAGAGTAAACGCTTGCCATCGAGTCTGATCTTAACTGAAAGGAGAATATTTTATTATGTAGGTACTGTTGTGTATGGAGCTATATGCAAGTTGGTGCTTACAGATTTTCAGTTTTAAGTTTATGCTTATTATATTAATGAAGTAAAAGTATGCATAGATTCAAACCTCTGCAAAGTTATTGCAATCCACAAAGAATGAGAATTCTATACAAGGAGAAAACATAAACTAGTCAAAACGAAATAAGGAGCACTTGGTACCCTGGTAGTAGGGCAAGGAGTAACAACCTGGTTAAAAAACCTGGGTTCACTTGGGCCGAATGATAGCACCCAGTAAGAGTCCCTGCTCAGGGTACAGATGAAGATGGAGGAGATGGCACTTCAGCTTAAAGCCAAGCGTCTAAGGTGTAACAAAACGGCCCTAAAATCCTTTTTTTTTTTGCTTCGTAATACAATTAATTGGTTTCTTTTTCCCAGCGAGATTAAGTCGCTAAATTTCTGACAAAACCGTGTCAAGAACCAAGGGTTATCAGTCGGATCCCGAAACAGTGTCCTGATTGTGTCTTAAAATACGATTCTCGACTCCTGGTTCCATGAACATACCGCATGTTTTGAGACCGATATGAAACCCAAAAGAGTCATCAAGCTGCCAATATAAATAAGCCCGTGAGTCGCCTAGACTCATTCAGTTCTGTAACGAAGTTCTGGTATTTAGTGTTGACGTCTTTCTGCTGACTCTCTTTCCGAGACCGTGGGTAATGTTTCAATTTCAAGTATTTTAATTTATTCATCATGATTGTTGTTTTCTATCTATTATTTATTTTCTCCCCTGTGTAAAGAACAAAACTTTTGGGTTAGCTTCACAACTCAAATCTCTTTTCCAACATGTATCTTACCCTGAATAACGAGGCCGTTTTATCATTCCCTTGTCGAGGACGCCCGTGACTTTTCACCAATTAGGAATTATAACCTACTAGTCTTTATTTTCTGTATCTTTTAATCCTCAAGTTCTCATGTAACTTGTACCATCAAGGAACGCCTTATACAGGACGCTCATTGATTTCACTCTCTATCATTCCAAATTTCCGTATGTATTTTCTTTCATTTCATTTCAGTAAACATTGTTACTAACCTACTGTATATTCTTTGCCTTTTTTTCATTTCCTTACCAAGATTTATCATTTGTTCAATAAACCATTGTTAGAGTTTAGTAATAAAAACTGATTTTTTTATTTCCTTTGGAAAACCCCGAGCTAGCATTCGAACTAACTGCGTACAGCTCAGGTAGTAAGAACCCGCACTGGAAGAGGCAATCTAATCAAATTACTAAAAAGTATCCGTTCAAAGCAGAGCTGGGCAGTATTTGCAATTCTAAATACTTTTTAGTATTTAAATACTTAAAAGTATTTAAATACCTAGTATTTAAATACTTTTCTAAAACTGGTATTTGTATTTATGAATCCAAATACTTTTTGAAATATTTGGTATTTAAATACTTTAAAGTATTTTAAATACTTTCAAAAGTAGTTAAATACTTTCAAGTATTTAACTACTATCAAAAGTATTTAAATACTTTTGAAAGTATTTAAATACTTTTTCTTCTGCAAAAAATATACAGATGAACAAGATTCAACTCGTCACATTATCAGTTCCTAGACTATAGACACGTGCCGCGTGCTTATCTTTGGCTAGACGGCTTCTGAAAATATATGCAGGCAGGCAGGGTAGTTTGTTACGCGCTTTTGGTGAAAAATATTTGTTGTTTCTGCTGAGGTTGTTGTGTTGGTTCAAAGGAAAAGCACAAATAGTGAAGTGAATGAAGTGAATAATAAATTTGAAAAACGGTAAGGACATATTGTTTTATGCTTTAAAAATGCGGGGTTTTGTATTGGTAAAAATGCGCCTCATCTATAGGTCTCTAGTCTCTAGGTGCTAAAAGGTGCTTGACCCTTACCATTTTATATTTTAACGTGAATACATCTTCGTCTTGGATAGAAATTTTCCTAATAAATGCGAAATATTATATTGTGCAACTAGCAAGGAGTGATTAATAACACAATTCCCACTAGCGCTTAATGCTAGAAGTTTGATTCAGCGAGTACTAGTTGGAAATGTGTTTTTTTCCATGTACACATTGTACATACAGGATGTTTCAAATTCGAGCCACATCATTGGGATATCGGAAACGGTAAAAGATACAGGGTTGGTTAAATTGGGGCAAAGTTGCCAAATTTAATGCCAAGCAAAATAGCGTTCTGATATTTGGAAAATTGCACGTACCTCCGGAAATATTCGGAAAAAACCGAAATTTTGAAAAATCGATTTTATTTTTTCCTGAGCTTGTTTGAAGTGATATTCAAAAATAAATGAAACTTTATCGTTGCCACTCTCTTCCCTCTATAAAATGGCAGTGTGAAATTTAATATCCGACGTTTCTTCTTTGGTCTACCATCATCAGCTTTATTTTTCTAAAAACGACCATGATTTTTTTGTTGTGTTTTCTGTTGGCTTTAATGCAAACTTGTAAAACATTCATCAGATCCAAGAAATATTGGTTTAAACAGTATCCATGCACATGACTTACACATAACATAAAAAGCGATAATACATTTTTCACAATCTTCAAAGAAAAAAATATATCACTTCATTTTCGACTTCATCGTATTACTTTGTCAAATTTAAAATCCAAAATTCTTTCTTTGCCAACATCATCAACTTTATTTTTGTTAATTTTCTATTTTGTTATGCGTCATCCAAGCACTGCAATGTATCAAATTATTATTTTTTATTAGGAATTATCAATAGTAATACAGGGTGTCCCACGACGTTTGTCCCAGGTGATAATTTCGGAACGCGTCATCCAATATAATTGAAATTTTGCGGATCTGGGTAACTTTTTGAGCCGCTTCTACCACTGTCATTCAATTCCACCATTTTTGCTCCAATGTCGGCCAAGTGACGTCAACTTTCGAATTTTAAATGTAACTCATGGTATATTATGGCATTTTTCGTTAGAAAATTGAATTGCAAAATCGGCTATGTCATATTTGTTAAGGCTTTGTTAAAGGATATGACAAAAAATTATACAGTGGAACATACGATGATGCGTTCCGAAATTATCATTTGGGAAAAACCTTGTGGGACACCCTGTATAACTAGTGCAATGGAAATTATCGATAACTACGTGCACTCGTGCTCTTTTTCAACTAAAAATACATTCGGACAAATTTCTCAAAAATTAAATAGTAGGTTATTACATACCGAGTAGGGAAGTGTTTGATTACTGTCGAGAGATTTATATAGTCAATCGAGACGCGAAGCGTCGAGATTGAATATTAATCTCGAGACAGGAATGAAAACTTTCCTCCGAGGTTTGTATACTATTTTATTTGCAAGCACACAGTTAATTATGCTTAGTCAATCAGTTTTTTTGATATTAAAAAAAATAAAACAAACATGCCAAAATGTGTCATTCACTGCTTTGACATTTTTACCTGACATGTTCTCATTGTTGCCAGCAAAGGTAAATAAATTAGAGTGAGGGAAATCGGTGAGGGAAGTCGAATAGGGAAATCGGTGAGGGAAATCGAAGAGGGAAGTGACACAGGTAAAGTGTCACTTCCAAATTTTTAAAAAGTCAGTAATGACAAGATTACATATATGATTGCAAATAAAATATATTTCCATTGCACGAGTTGTATTTTATGAGAGAATTTCACGAATCAAAAATCTAAATTTTTTGTCAAAATTTGTCAATACACCAGTTTCGATACCAGTTACTATGCAATTATCGGATAATTGCACTAGTCAAATCATCACGTAATTCCAATCTGATTGGTTGAAGTCAACAATCAAAACATGTCATTTCATTGCTGGAACAACAGTTCCAACCTGGTTTGACAGATGAATGAAATTCTCACTTTAATTTGTTGAATAAAGATGGATTTATGGCGCTACTTATGTGTAAGACAGAGACAGGTCTATGCAAACTTTTCAAAGTCAATTTATCTTGGATCTGATGATTTTTTCAAAAGTTTTCAAGGTTATTACTTGAAACATATCAAAAGTCAACAGAAAACAATATAAAATATCTATGGTCGTATTTAGAAAAATAAAGCTGGATGATGGGCGACCAAAAACAAACTTCAAACAAACTCAGAAAAAAATGAAACGATATTGCAAAATTTCGATTTTTCCGAATATTTCGTCAAGTACGCAGAATTTTCCAAATTTCAAAATGCTTGGTTCCCGAGATACAGGGTGGAATAGAAATTTTGCGCTTTTTGGGGTGGTATCATATTTTGGACACCCAGTAGGATAGAAAAAAGGTAAAAACTGCTATAGATATATATTTTCACGAAGAATCCAGTGGCGTAGTCAATTTTTTTTTAAACAAACCTTTTTCGAGATATAGCCCAAACTTAGTATTTTCCAAATATGACACCCTGTATTTTTTAATTCCAAAAAATTGGTTTTTATTTTCTCTTTGGAATGATGTATCACCGAGTGTATCACACTAGCCACTTGTGACGTCACTAATCCTTACAAACGCAATATTGAAAAAAAAACGTAAGTTGGCCATGGAATTATATACCGGGTGTTTTTCAAAACCCGCTCACCCCCATAACTTTTTTATTGTCACAAATAAACAAATGAAATTTGGTGTGTTTATTAATAACCCGAATGTGCATTAATTGACGTATTCAATTATTTTTTAGCACTTCCGGTTTGACCGGAAGTGACCCTAACTTTGTTAGTGTAAATGAGATGCCATGTATATTTTCCCTTATTTCAATAGAAAACTAAATTACGAGTACATTGACACCTCATTTTTCACTTTTCGACATTTGATCAAATGAATCAAAAATTTTGATGATTGGCAATAGCAAAGCGATTTTTATTTCAGATTTTAAAATGGAGGACATGGAGATACCTGAAATTCATGCGAGTGATTTTGAAATAGATCCGTTTTATGATAGCGATGACAGCGTAAAGGATCCAGATTATGGTAGGGAGATAAAAAAGAAAAAAATTCCGG